GCATGGCGAGCGCTGCGCGCGCCATGCCCCGCCTGCTGTCGCCGGCCCTGTTGCCGGCAATGCTTGGCCCCCGGCTGTCTGGACCCTCCCGACACCGCCCGCGATGCCGCCCTGCTTACTGGCACCAGGTGCGCCACCAAGAGGAGCTGGCGGGCGGGCGCGATCTGCAGCTCGACCAGCGGCGGCAAATCCTCGCAGACATCCTCGTGTGGGCCGAGGTCACGCAGACCCAATATGACGACGACACCGCGTCGTGAGTTGATTTTACGCGCTCCGGGGTGTCAGGGGTGCGGTTGGGACGCCAGCGGGCCCGCGGCCTGGTCGGGCGAGGCATAGGGGGGTTGACGGGAGGCGCGCGAGGGCCCCCGCAGCGCAGCACACCGGGCTGGGCCGAAGCCCGTCCTCGGCTTTGCGCCGCTTGGCCTCCGTGGTCCGCCAGGCCGTGACCCTGGTGTCTCTCCGCCTTCCCGCCCTCCGCAGGTTTGTGACCGAGCCCCACGAGCAGGACCCCTCGTTCCAAAGGATCGGGGACATGCTCAAGGCAGCCAAGGCGCAGCGCGGGTTCTGCCGGTAGCCGCAGCCACTGGACGTCGCCGCCGTGCGCATGCGCGCACGCGAGAGGCACCCGTGTCGCAGGGCCTCCCCGAATCGAATAGCGCGCGGCTGCATGCACGCGGGCACCGTGTGGCTCCCAGAAGGCGTTGACCGACAGCGCCATTAATTGCCCCCGCAGTGCGCCCTCCGGCGCCTCGAACTGCTCAAATTGTACCGACTAAGTGGAGGGTGTTTGCCGGGCCCCAATGAGGGCTCGGTGCGGGCAGCTTTGCGGTCCAGGGTCCCCACATTGCGTAAGACGCTGCGTGGGTTGACCTGCGCCTGCGATCGCAGGCAGCCGCCAGCAGTGCGTGTACCGGGACATGATGTGTCGACATTTTTGTGCGGGCAAGGCCGCCGCGCCTCGCAGGCGCGCCGTGCCAGCCAAAGTTTTGCCGCCGTCGCGGCCCGGCAGCAGGCGGGCCGCACGGCTCGAATCAACGCGCTGCGGCGGACGAGCTGCGGGCGCGCATGCACACGCGCGCGCGGTCGGCCGCCGGCTGCCCCTCGCGCGCTCTTGGCCCCAGCGCCACCATGTGCGGGCCCAGCGCTGCCATGCTGACGCCCCCCCCCCCTGTCAAAAAATGCGTGTCGTGAATACAACAGCGTGTCAATGGCCTTTCTCACCACTCCGGTCTTCGTGCACTTTGAACGCCTGTCTGGGCTGGCGCATCGGCCACCAAGAACCTGCTCTCGCCCCTAGCAGCCGTCTCCTTCCTGCAGCCGGGTCCGACTCACGGCGGCCATTGCGCGCATGGCGCCGCAGCACGCTGGCAGTTGCCGGCCGCAGGACCGCGCACCACCTTGCTTGTTGACTTGGGGGTAACCTTTCGTTTCCATATGCGTACTCGTGTCACCAGTGGGTCGAGAGGATGGTGCCGCCACAGCTGAACCTGGGGGGTGGGGGCGGCTGCGATTCCCGAGGCCCCTGACGAGCCCGGGCAGAGCCAAGACAGATGTGTGCGCCCGCGCGTGCGCCAGCGAGCGCGCGGCCGCGCCATTGAGCGCGCCTCGCGTGCTGCGGCCAGACCTTAGAACAAGGATGCGAAGCTATCCGGGGAGCTGAAGAGGCAAACACAGCTGCAGGGCGCGGTGGTGACCCGCCTTGCCGACCTCGAGTAACCAGCCAGTGTTGGGCGACCAAGCAGAGGACTGCGGATGCATGACGAGTCACAATGTGCAGTTGCTTGATGGCTGCGCTCGCACCCAGCTTATCAGCCTGCCGCCAGGTGGCTCGCACACTGCTGAGGCTGTGTGGCGGGGCCCAGCAACTACACAACGCAGCGATGGATGGTGCGCTGCGGCGCTGCGCGGGCGCAGCTGGGCAAACTCCGTAGCTCATGCAGCTTGTTACCAGCGCTCTGTTCCAGATCCTCCGCCATCCAGTGCCACGCATGCTGTGCCGCCACATGCAAACTCACAAAACAGGGGGCCATGCCGACCCGTGCTGTGTTGATGCGAATGAACACTTCCTGTTGTCCTGAAATCTCCCGAAATCCCTGATCCCTGCATCTGCAGCACCCAAACCCCGCCCTTGCTGAAACCATCGCGACAGGCGGCCGCACGTGCCTGCACGCCGCAGGTGAAGTTGTGCAGCCCCGATCCAGCTCTCCCCCCCCCAACAGCAGAAATGGCGCAAGTCAGAACTTGCCACAATTCCAAGAAGAGTTTGAGAATAGGCAAACTCCAGCGCTAGCCCTGCGGGACCTCAGGAGAGGGGGGCTCTGGTACGGCTGGATGACACACAACCTCTCATGAGCAAGAAAGGTGCTTTGCTGGATGCGGGCGCCCCCAAAATCGACCAAACCCCGCGTGCGAACGCCGCCAGCTTGCGGCTGCTTAGCAGCGGTACGCAGGCAGCGGCTGCTGAGGCCAGTCAAATTGCCAGGCCTGCTGCGTTGCTGCGGCCACGGGCACGGGCGCGGGCGCGGGTGCCGTCCACCACTGCGGATACAAAGCTGCGTCCTGGGGGGCTGCGGGCTGCGGCGTAGCGGAAAACACCAACGCAGGGCCCCAAGGCTGCGCGGCCGGGGGCCCCCAGGCCGCTTGGTGCCAGGGCGCGGCGTAGGCGGCAAATGCGTCCTCTCGGCCAAATGCTCCCGCGTGCTGCTGCTGCTGCTGGTACTGCTGCTGCAGGGGGGCAGCCGCGCACAGCTTGGAGGCCGCGGCGCGCGCCGCGGCAGCCGCGCGTGCGGCAGCCGCAGCGGCCGCCGCGCGCGCTGAAGCCGCCGCGAGCTGCGCCGTCAAGCTCATGTTGGCGGCGACGGGGCCGGCCGGGCGGACGTTGGTCCCATGCGGCTCAGAATGCCCCGCAGCTCCGCTTGCTGCCGCCGGCCCTTGCGACGTGCGCAGCGGCCCCGCCGTCCTGGCGGGCGCCGGCGCTGCGGCCGGCGCGAGTGCCTGCGGCGGCTCCGCGCGCTGCACGGC